TGAACTTGTTATTTCATGAATTCGCGTCCATTTAAAAAAAGTAAACGAACAACGTTGTTATGTTATGTACATTTTTAATTTTTTTTAACTCAAGTTTACACAATGTGCTGATTTTACGTGAGTCAACGTGAATTGCATGCAGGAGCACGTACTAGACGGCATGGATGGTCTTACGTATCAAACGCTTTGGCAAGACTGACCAAAGCACCATACTGTTGTTCTCGTTAGCAGATCAGCGACCATTCACCCATTTTTCGGTTCATAACATAGAAGTGAAGAGAGATTAACGTCTTGTTCAATAAAAGCAAAATTACGCCTGCGTGGGGTTTGAATCTGGTACTTCTGAAGTGCAAAGCAAATTACTGAACCATTAGGCCACTGCCCTCTCCTGCAGAAGAACAGAAATAAATATATCACTGAAAAATGAAATAAAATGAGTCAAATTCTGTGAAGTATCTTCGACGTATGGCAGCTTTATGTAGTAAATATTACATTTCATATACTGATATGGGATTCATAAGGCGAAAACGAACCTGTAAATAAAAATTACTTGTTACTTTACACTGATACTGCAGCAGTGTAAGACAAATGTCAGTCGTTACACCGGACTGTAACGCAATATTACACCGCTTCACTGCTTCTAGTTGCCTAGGGGGACCATTCAACCAGGCCACGGCTCCAAGGAATTAAAGCGCCTACAGTGCATGGGACACATGATCGCGTCACTGAGTTGGGTTGAACAAGGGTATGTTCAAGCCCAAACAAGTCTGCCACAATCCGTAGGAAAAATAGATGAAAACTGGAATAAAATATACCGCAACGTTCTGGGGTAGCATCTACGAGTGGGAGCTTTCAAAATCGTTGGTAAATGTTACGTTTCTAATAGTGATAATGGATATTTATGAACACTAAGGTTTCGCCAGTACGCAAAGCTAAACACTGTTAACATCTTTTAGACTGCATAAAACTCACAATAAAACGCCATAAAACAAGTTAAACAAACGATTAGCAAACAATCTGCTTATATTTTAAAATAAAAATGAATTTAATTTCAACTTATTTCATTTCATTTCACCTAATGAAGGCGAAAAAATAATGAAATAATCAACTTACGGGAAAGCTGTCAGCGGTCGATGCCAAATGATTTAAAAACTTGAAAAATAGTTCTGGCCAGGGAAGCGCACTGAAAATAACACCAGTGTTAACAGACGGATTTCTCCTAAGAACACTGCAAACATAAAAACTTCACAAGAAAGAAATGTAAACAAAATTTAAAACTCTATTGCAGGTTACATGGACGTAAAATTGTTTGTCATCATAGTATTGTCATGATGTCCTACAGTATCATTCCTAAAGGATACATTATGCTAGGAATCTCGAACTAAGTCGAACCAATCACCTGCACCTAGCTACAAACTCACGATTACCAAAATCATCCGGAGA